TAAAAGATAGAAATAATTAATCAAAAATATTTCCTTAAAATTTAGCCAACTACTAAAAAAAAAAAAACCAAAAAAATATCTAAGGAATAAATGAGACAACACATGTAAAGCTCTTAGAAAAAGCTGATAATGGCAATAACTCAAAAACTATTGGGCATAATTATAATTTATTGTAGCTAGGACTAAAATAAATGCATCAGATATTATAATTGAAAAAGTTACCAACAGTCTGTTTAATTTGGGTAATTATTGTAAGCCTAATTGTTCACAAAAACAGTTTCATATTCACATTGCATTCCGATATTTCCAATACAATTTGAAATAAATTCTAGACATTTTTGTTAACATCCCCCCAAATTTGTAAGCAGAGCGAATACAGGAATTTAATGGTATTACATTTTTATGTCTTTATCTCTGCATGAAAAGAAAATTCAATGTACTACCAATTTTTTCCCCAGCTTTACTGAGATATAATTGACATATAGTGTAAGTTTAAGGTGTACAATGTGATGATACATGTATATGTTGTGGAATGTTTACCACAATAAAGTTAGTTAACACAATCTTTACCTCACATAATAACCATTCTGTTGTTGCTGTTGCTATAGTAAGAACATTAAAGCTCTACTCCCAAAGCAACTTTCAAGTATATAACACAGTATTTTTAACTAGAGTCACCTGCTGCACATCACATCTCTAAAACTTATAAATGGAAGTTGGTACCCTTGGACCAGCATCTCCCCATTTGCCCCACGCCCTCATTCTCTGGCAACCACCATTTTACTCTGTTTCTATGGGTTTTTTAGGTTCCACATACAAGTGAGATAATACAGTATTTGTCTTTCTCTGTCTGACTTATTTAGCATAATGCCCTCAAGCTCCATCTGTTTTGTCAGAAATGACAAGATTTTCTTTTTTTATGGCTGAATAATATACCATTGTATGTGCATATGTGTGTGTGTACATTTATATCAGTATGTGTGTATATATGAATATGCGTACACATTCATATAAACGTACCAAATGTATGTGTGTATGTGTACATATGTATGTGTGTATATGTGTATATATGTATATGCACACACATACATAAAAACACACCGTATTTTTTTTATCCAGTCACCCGCTGATGCACACTTAGGTTTCCATGTCTTGGCTGTCGTGACATGTGGGAACAGTGAATGTGGGAACTTGCACTCGCAGCTATGCATTCTGTATTAATTGTACATCCACCAAGCAGTAAAACACAGACACTTCCAAAGATGGAAAGATCATTCACATACCACAATATGAGTGTATTTACCAACAAGAAAAAATCCCCTCCCCAAACCCAATTAATTCATCAAAAGAAGAAAATCTCCAAACTGAGGAACACATTTGACGTGCATATAAACAGACCCTGGTTTGTCTTCCCAGTTTCGTTGATTGTATCCCACAATCTCTTCAATCACCTCTGATTCGTGGTTAACAAATTACAAGCTAATTTGGAAGCTGGCTCGTAGCTTCCAAGGGAGCTTGTCCACAGCTTTCTGTAGCTGCTTCATCCCTTTTGCACACCAGAAGAAAAAACTTTTTCTGCATGAAAAATTTCCAATAAATTTCTTAAAATCTCTCATTACATTAAACCCTGATTAAAAGCCAGTGTCCACGGTTTTCTTACCAGTGGGGCAGGCACTGGATTGGCTCACTCAGCATCTATTCCAACCTCCTTCTAGCATGACTTTCTGGCCAGTGGAGGCTACAGGAAACTCCACATCCTTGCAGCACGGGTCCCAGAAGTGATTTAGGTTTCGCCTGCTCAAGACTCAGATTTGGAGCTGAGCAAGTTGGGGAGAGGCGCCATGATACCAAAACTACATTCTGTGTATGAGGATGTCTCATGCCTTGGCAGCAGTGTTGTTTGCTACCAGACTCTTGGCGCTTCATATAATTTCAGCTGAAAACTCACATTCTGGGTTTACAAACAGAAGGTAGGAATCACGGAGGAAAGAGAAAGTCTGGCAAACAACTTCTAGGAGATCTGACTCTTCTTTATGAGCTTTCATCTAGTGTCTAAACAGCCTATGCAGTACGTAGACAGGCTGTCCATGTGAAATGGGTAATCATAGTTTAAAATATTAACCATATGCTGATGACGTCTAAATTTATATCTCTGGCCCCAGTTTCCTGCTGAGCCCCATCGTACATCCAACTGACTTCTTCACATCACCATATCAATGCCTAATAGCATTGCACACTTAACTGGTCCAGAAAGAAAGGGGGGCTTGATATTTCCTGCGAAATCTGCCTCCAGTCTCTTCCACCCCAGTTAATGGCCAAGATATAGGAGTCTCTGTGAGTCCTCTTTCCCCAACTCTCGTTTGGTTGTATGAATTCAGCAGAGAATCCTGTTGGCTCTGCCTCTAAAATATCCTGGATTTAGCCTCTCTCCCACTTCTTTAGACCAGCCACCTGTGCCCTAGACCATGACAGTCGTGCTACTGGTCACCTTGCTCTACCCACTCTGTTCTCTTCCGCCATAGTCCATTCTGTCCATAGCAGCCAGAGCGAGCATTTAAACATATAAATCCGGTATCGTTCTTCTGATTAAAACCCTCTAAGAGCTTCTGTGCACTGAGTTTAAAAGCCGAAGTCCCTTCAGTGCCAACAAGGCACCACCACATAATCTGCCCTTGACGCCATCCAACATCACTTCCTTCCATTTGGTGCCCTTTTGTTCTCTAGCTGCAGATGCACAGAACTCCTAGAAGTCGTTTGCCTGACTTTCTCTTTCCTCAGTGATTCCTTCCTTCTGTTTGTAAAACCAGGATGTGAGCTTTCAGCTGAAATCCTATGAAGCACTAAGAGTCTGCTAGAGAACAACAACACTGCTGCCAATTCTTGAGACACCTGTACACACAATGTCGTGTCCGTATCACGGTGCCTCTCCCGTCTTACTCAGCTCTCACACAGGTCGAGCATGTTCTAACTCAGGGCCTTTGCACTTGTGGTTTTTTTGTGGGGATTTTTGTTTTGTTTTTTGTTTGTTCGTTTTTATTTTTATTTGCTTAGAGACTCTTCCATCAAATCCTGTCCTGCTGGCTCATTATCATCCAGGTTTTAATTCACAAGTTCATCAGAGGACCCTTCCTTGACCACCCAATCTGAAATAGCACCCTCCCGCTACCAAGTTAGTTACTGTCAAATCACCTATTATTTATGGCGCTCACTACTATCTCAAATGATGTTCCTAGTTTGTTCACTCATTATCTGCCTTTCTCACTATAACGTCAGCTGGAAGACAACAGGAAATGTCCTGCCTTATTACTGGGTCTGCAGCACCTAGAAAAATGGTAGTAATAGATATTTGTTCAATAATATGATGTTTTGCTTCATCCAATAGATCAAATGCTAATATTTTTAAATAAAAACGCTGAGCTCCTCTCTTACCTTCAACAGGAATGTCTTTCTTCCCTCCTCTGATTCCTGACAACTTGACAACAGGAAGGCTCTCTCGTTCTGAGGAGTTACCACCATCTTTTCAAATAGAGAACTGGACCCCAATAGCTAGGGGAGTCATCTCCCAACTTCTCTACCTGTGTCCCCCAAAAGAATTCTGGAAAATAACATATCCTTTACCCTTTTTTGTTTAACCTGGTATCATCAGAAATATTTGGGAAAATTAAAACATTGTTAACTTCATTACATCTATGCCAACACAACTATATTTGATAGAGAGGTGTTATCACATTTAGAATATTCTTTAAATCCTGAAGCTACAGGTATAGCTCAATTTAGGAAACGGTGTGCTGTATTCTCTAACTGGCCAAGGCAAATTTCATGGTCCAACCAATCAGCCAAATCAGACTTAGTTTCTGTCAGGAAAGCCTGCCTTCTTCTTCCAATTCGTACTTTTGTGTTAATACAAAGCCCCTTCACAACCCTCTTCCTTCTTAAATTGAGTTCTATGAAGTATGAGTAGATAAGATACAAAGTTCAGCCATAAGTTTGTTGTCTGCATGAAATACGTCCCTGATGTTCAATATGTTTGACCAATGTTCTCTTGGTTTACTCTTCGGGTCTCACCTTCAGGAGCGATGCATTTGGTTGTTCATAGGTGATGGCAGAAGTGCGGTTGTTAGGTGTAAATTGTCATCACCTCTGCTCCTCACTCTCTGATATATCTGAGTACAGACTTTCCCATCCTATTTATAACACCCTACTTAACCCTCATGCTATATAACAGGAAAAGGCATGATGTCCTACCATGGACTTGTGGTGCCTTGTTTCACTGTTGCTTTGTTTGATAACCCTAAGAATTTTTTACCCTCAGAGCAGTGCTGAGATAAAGGGTGGATTAAGATTTTGCCTTATATCCTGAAAAGTAGGAGGTGCGTGACTATGAAGGATGGTGGGATGTGAAAGGAGAGCTAGAATTGCAATTCCCCCTCAGCTATAGGGGCATTCTCAGGCAGATCTATTTTAGGAAAGAGTACATATGAATGCTAATGTGTTGGCAATTCATTCTCTTGAAAATATCAATTGTCTCATTCCCATTGGAAAGTCTCCATGTACCCCCAGGGGTGTGAGTACTCCAGCTTGAAGACAGCTGGGCCAAGAAGCCCTGTTTCTTTTGGCTTTTGCAGTCACTGCCACACTGCATTGCTCCTGACATGTGCAATCCAACTGGGTTTTGTCCCCTTGCTCATTGCTAGTTGATGTGGGCAAACACCATCCCAAAAGCACAGAAGTCCCCACAGTCTGCAATCTCTCTTCAAGTTCTGATACAGAAACCTGAACTTGGCACACCTAGCAACAAGTACAAGATTGAAAGAGCTCTGCCTGTGTAAAAGGCACAGAATTTGCCTCGGTTCACAGAGAACCCAGGACTTTGCATATCAAGGTTACCTTGCTCTTGGGTGTGGTGCAAACTCACACACATAACCAGCCTTTTTTTTTTTTTTTTTTTTACTCCTTGCATGCTTGCTGCACCAAGATGGCTGTATTGGAATGGGTTTACAATGGCGGCCTCAAGGTACCACCCCCACTGTCTATCTGCATCTTGATATGAAGGATGAATAATGTCACTTCTGCTCGGGTTGCTACACCACCTCTCATTTGCTCTCTCAGGATAGATGTTAGCTCTTTTAGCATAGAAACTCTACCTTGTTATACTGTGTCTCTTTCTGTGTGGTCTATGGACTTATCTGCTTTGGAATCACCAGGGATGCTTTTCACACCTGTTGAATAAAAATTTATGGGGATGGGGCCTGAGAATCTGTATTTTCCACCAGCACCACAAGTTAGTCTTACTTTTTGATGAAATATCATATGTAAAAGAACATATATAACTCTCTCTCTTTCTCTCTCTCTCTCTCTCTCTCTCTCTCTCT